TAATTTTTTAAAATTTTAACTTTAAGCCTTAATGATATATTAATTTTTCTTTAATTTCAATTAATTTTTTTATTTTTAAAAAAAAAGTATCCCAACTTTAGCTCTTATGCAAATTTTTTTCTAGTGATTAAAAAATCTTCAAAAAATGTACATGATCTAAACTATGTACATACTAATTTTTGTAAAAGTTTCAAGGCTGTAGCACTTCTTTATGAGAAGATATAGATGCAGGAAACTTTTGTCGAGCACTGTATTTATTTGTTTAGCATGTGGAGATAAATCTTTAACTGTTGGAATTGAGTCACCAAAAAAGCTTACAAACCAAGAATATAAATACTACTTACTATTATATAATACTTTTAAAGTTGCTTAGTTTACATTATTTATTTCATTGAATTAAATCAAAAAATAAGTTCATCAAACCAACACATATTCTTAAATTATACATACCATCATATAAACAAGTTATTTTGTTTGTGTTATCCATTTCATTCAGCCTATAAATAAATAATAATCACCTTGTTACCTAGTTTCCAAACTTAAGTTTTAAATATTGTATTTACTAATATATCCAAGAATATAGCAGATTTACTATCATAGAGGTCTTGTATATATTGATTTATGGCTTAGTTATTTTTTTTAAACCCCAAAAAAGCAAGTACAGTGTTCTTGCCTTACCATTTGATTTAAGTTAGCATAAACAGATGTATTTCATTATTGTTGGTGCTTTTTCTCTTTAAAATCTAAAACACCTACATAATGTTCTTGCAAGATGCATCTCCTAAATGCTTTTTCTCTTTTTAATCCAAGCTTGCTATTAGTAAGATGAAAAAAATTAGCATGGTATTCTTGTGAAGCACATTAGTAATACACTTCTTCTGATTAAAAAATCCAAAAAATCAGTATAAAATTCTGTATTTACTAAAAATGATGAATCACCCAACAGCACAAAAAACAAAAACCACACTAACCTAAAGTGGCAAGTTTCATATTCAAAACAGTGTAAAACAATAGCCTTTCAGATTACAAATTTGCAAATTAAAGACTCAAAATGGAACCATAACAAACTACAAAATCTATATTCACAAGAACACCAGAAATGACGAAACAAAATTAGGGCTGTGACATTTATTAAGTAATATTTTAGGGGGTGGGGGTTGAGCATGTATTATATCAATATCTTACGCTGCACAAAGAAATTATATGATTTCTAAATTGGCCAATTATATAGATCTTATGTAGGGGGAGGGGTAGTCCTTATAGTAAATGAATATTACGTAATAAATGTCAGAGCCTTTATAGCAATGAAACTTTCAGTAAAATGAAGACACTAAACAACAAATCTACATTCATACGAGGCTCCATTAACACGATGATGGCGACTCTAAAAGTAAGATAATATTAGACATTGTTTATATACCCTGATTGTTATGTTACACGGGTATGCAGGTATAAAAAATTTTAATATACCCTTAGGGTACATTCATTTAAAAAATGATATAAAATTTTTTTATAGATTTGGATTAATTTGTTTTTACGGTGAGACTTTTTTAGTAATAGTTATAATTTTTTATTGATACTTTATGTAATTTTTTATGTACTAAATAAAAAAATCAATTTATAAATAAAAATTTAGAATCGATTTATACCCCTATCTCATTATTACAGTTATTAGAACTAGCGTTGATCTCAGAGATTTTGGCTTGACTACTGGGTGTAGTAATTGCATCATTAATTAATTTTCTTACTACTTTTAATTCCTCTTTCTTAGATTTCAACTCGTTGTGAAGTTCTTTTACAATATTTTCTTTATCATTACCGCTGATTATTTGTAAAGTTTTCTCTCGTTCTTCAATCAACAAAGTTTTAGCATTTAGTCTTTCTTCTAGTTCTGTTTCCCATACTACTAATTCTTCACAATCTTTAAGAATTAGTTGTATATTTTCCATGAACCCTTCTCCTAATTTGTCTTCTAGCTCATACTCAATTTTCTGAAATTCTTTTTTTAATTTTCGTGAAGGGATTCTTTGTTTTTCCGCTTTTTTAAATTCTAAATAAGTAGTAATTAATTGCTGAATTAGTTTCTTTTCAGGGAGAATATTTAAAAAATCATCAACTATTTTGTGTTTTTTGTTTTTAATTAGATTAGTGAGTTCTTGAATTCTAAGTTCTAAGTAAGAAGATGGTTCACGAATAATTTCTAATGATCTATTATAATCTGCAAGCGATTCTCCATATCTACCCATATTTCTATAAGCTGATCCACGTTTCATTAATGTAATTGCATTGTTTGGATCAATTTCTAATGATTTATTGTAGTCCGTAAGTGATTTATCATAATTGTCCATAACATAATTAGTTAATCCACGGTTTCTAAGTGTAATTGCATCGTTTGGTTTAATATCTAATAATCTATTAAGATTTGTAAGTGATTCATCATATTTGCCTAATTCAAAATAAAATTTTGCTCGATTTTCTAACATTTTTATGTCGTTTTCAATTGTTAATAACTTATTTAAAATTCCAATTTCTCCGAGAGATGTTCTTTCATACTGATAGTTTTTGGAGTTCTGGTATAAATAATTTTGTTCAATAAGTTGCAATTGATTAGATTGTTGTTCTATAAATAAATAAGCTATTATTAATAATGATTTTTTCTAAAAAAATTTCAATAAACTGTAACTAACCTATCGAAGTTGTATCTTGAATATATAAATCATTATTACTAATATTGGTTAGCTTAGATGAGTTAAACTCCGTATAATCATACGTCGAAGTATCTACATTAACATCATGTTCACTGTGATAAACTGGATCCATTCGAATTTTATTTAATTTATGACGGATTTCAGTTATGTTTGGGCGTAAATTTGGATCACCATTCCAAGCATCGCAATAAAGGTTTACAAAGTCAACAGGAGTTCCATTTATTGGAGCTTCTCTTTTGCCAGAAATCACATCTAATGTTATTTCGACTTGATCTGAGATATTTTTAAAAGGAGGAATGCCACTTGATATTTCCCAGAAAAGTACACCGAGACTATAGATATCAGAAGGTTTACCCCTTTTATATAAGAATGGATTTTGTAGATATTTCGGATCGCAAAAAGCACACAATCCACCAACAATTGATTTGGAGCTATTTTCTAGTGATTTTGATAAACCGAAGTCGGATATCATTAATCTACCATTATTAACTAATATGTTTTTGTCATGCTGACAATAAATTAAAGCATTAAATTCAGTACATTACTATAATATATAAAAGATAAGTATAATGAGAGACACAGCGGGAAATTTGATTTCTAATGCAATGCCCCAGTTTCTAACTGAAGAATTAACAACTCCCACAGATCACCCATCGCTACTTACAAGGTCACGATGAATTATATTTGCATTATGCAAACAATTAATTCCACTAGAAATATCTATTGCCATCTTAATTTTAGTTGGCCAATCCAATTCCGAAAAATGACTACGCAAATAGCTTCGAAGTTCTCCATTATTTGCGAATTGAAGAACCATGTGGTACGTTTTAGTTTCTAAATCTATTTACATTAAGTTAAATTTTTATCGATTATGGATAAATAAAATTTATTATAATATCATATTACAGAAAGTTAACATGCCTTGTGTGATTCCAAAGAATCGTATTATATTAATATGATGATCTACTTTACTAATGTTTTTAATCTCATAATAAATGAGATTAGTTACTTTTAGAACATTTTAAGACAAATGAGAGAAACATAAGAAATTGATTTATACCTCTCTAATAAATTCATTAGACGTATCTTCATCGTCGTTTATAAGGCCATAATGTAACCTCTTTAAAGCTATAATTTGATCAATATCTTTAGAATAAGCACTAAATACAGTGCCAAATCCTCCTTCACCAATTATTTCCCTATTTTCAAATGATCCATATTCGAATGATTTAATATATTCTCGTTCGACAGCAACTTTAAACCAGTCTGACATATTTATCATACGGCATTTTAAAAGAAATGGAATAATTTTAGGGTTGTACGCACTGACAGAAAAACAAATCAGTATTGAGTATATTTATATAAATATTACGTGATAAAGCATTTAAATTTAATTAGCAAGCTAAAAAAATTATTTGAGAAGGTATCGGTATGCATGCATTTTACGTAATGTTGTGTTTAATTATGTAGTGCAACGCCGAAGCCCTAATTTCCCCCACCAGTTGTGATTGGTCGCATGAAATACCATCTTCAATTGGGTAAATTAGATCACGCCACCGCAGCCGCAAAATCAAAAAGATCGTTTAGTTTTTCTTTAAAAAAAAAAATTCAAATAATTATTAAGCGAAAGTTTATGCACTTTCAAAATTCTTTCTTGTAGTAAAAAAAAAACACAACCAAGAAAATTTTATAAAGTCTTTTGTTCGGTACTTTATTCTCGAGAATAAAATTTTGCTGAGACCTACGTTTACAAGCTTGTAATTTTAAAAAATACCAAATCTGTTTCAAAATTCCTTAATTATATTCTGGCCG